CAAGGGGTCTAGGTCCTCATCCAAACTTGGACTCCAAGCCCCCACACCTGAGTCTCAGACTCAGTGTAGTGCTTAGACCTCCACCATCGCTGCCTCCAATCAGTCAGTCCAGAAAGAGCCGGAACCCACGACAAGAGAGCAATGAGCCTTCCCGCTCCTATAAGCAAGTATGTGCTCAGGATAATAAGTCTGTGACCTGACTAGAATCCAATGCAACGGCCGGTCCTTAACCGACACGGACATGGAAACAGTATAACCAAGCTATGCCCTGTTGGCCGTGGGACACAACCTATTACACCCACCAATACCCGTACTATATCCCTGCCTGGTCTCCATTTCCTTTCACCATTTTATCATGAGAGTGATAATAATAATCACCTATTGTGAGTAACGGCAGGTTACTCACGCTACTGCAAAACCTAAGCATAGCAGCTACTTGACTTAAGCTAGTAGGACTCATAGGTAGGTATATCTATGCATGTAGTTTCAACAATAAGCCTGTAACGTAAATGCACATCACATATATATGTATATTCAGTGATTATTCAAAATAAGGGTTATGCACCGGGGCTTGCCTTGGGCAGGCGGGGTGTCAGCTCAGTCTGTCAGTGGTGGCTCTAGGACCTCCTCCAGCATGAGGATCTCCTCCTCGTACTCCTCGATCACCTCCTCGAACTCATGGTCTCCGATGGTCACGATCTCCACCAATTCGTTCTCTACATGCATGCGATGATGATGCAACACTTAGTATTTTAGTAACATCAACTCTTAAAATAAGAATACGCATGCTAAGCTACTAAGCTAACTCTAATGACTAAGATACTAAGCTAACTATCATCTTCATCAAGTAATGTGTTGGGTTCTACTAACAAACACCTAGCTTTACAAATGAAGGATATATCTTTATTTCTACTAATGATTTAATATATATGTAAAACAAAGAGCATTTAACTACCCTTATGTTAAGTCTATTCTAAAGCTACAAAAATTATAGTGAGCACATAATAATACAATGAAGCTACTGTAAAATTTTCAAAACTAAAGCTATCACCATTTTGCCACAAAAATTCCTACAATATTTAACCTAATAATATTAAGCACTCTCAAATGATTTACTAGCTCCTGGTATCAACAAGTATATATATGAACTAAATACACTAACAGATAGAGCACAATTTTAAGAACTTAACAAAATTTGTTTCACAATTTTTAAACATCTACATGATTTTATATTAATTACAAAAGTTTAGCTCAGAATTAAAATGAAAAGCTATTTCTATTCTCCAAAAAAGCTAAACTGATTTTGGCCCAACGCGGCGCAACGTGCGTGCGAGCGCGAACGCGCGGCGGCCCACAGGCAAGACGTGGCCCATGCGCAGAGGCGGCCCACGGCGAGGAAGCCCACGCGCGTTGGTACTCTTGCAAAAATGCCCCTAGACTATGAGCAAAACAACCCGCAATCCTCGTTACTATTTCTATAGACATCGACTTTGCAATGAAACCCTCGCATCTTTCTCCTCTTTACAATGTCAAGGCCCTCAGCCACCCCTACGCACGCTGGCGCGGCTTGCGTGGCAATGGACGGTCATGCCGGCCAACTAAGGCACATAGCGGCCCCGCTAGCAGGCCGACCTGCATCTATAGTCCTAGCGCCTACACTAGATGAAGTTACGGGAGCAGCGGAGCTTGCTGGAGCGGTGGCCACGGTGAGCGGCCGCGTGCGACGGTGGCACGACCGTACCGACCATCCTAGACCATCGCGTAGCTATTGGCTAGCATGTGAGCAACCCCAGCTTACCCTAGTCATGGCTGTGGTGATGGTTGAGGGAACAGTCAGCGGATAAGGGCGGGCGCAAGACGCAAAGGGGTGCGGTGGTGGTGCTCGAGACAGCGCAGCCCACGCCAATGACTACGGATCAAAGCGGTAGAGGTGCAAGCGAGGCACGTAGGGTGAAGTGGAGGTGGAGGCGAAGCTCGTGAGGTTGGTGGATTGGCGTGGAATGGTGCGGTGGGTGACTGCCCTCGTCCACGGTCGAGTCCGGCCTTAATGGCACGGCGAAGGGTAAACTCCAAAATTGGAGCTCAGCGTGACATGAGTTAATGCGGGGTAAGGTCAGGCGGCTAGACAATTCATAGACGGAGCCAGAGAGGCAGTGAATCGACATGAGGTGACCTGTATCTGCCGAATTTAAGAAAGCGGCTTCGCCAGCCATGGCGATAGGGAAGAAAAAGCCAATGGGGGGAAGAGGTAGGTCCGGCTCGGTCTATCCTCGCCTTGGCAGGGAGCGGTCGACACTACCAGGGCGACACATGCACAGGAGCCAAAGCCAAAACGTGCGCGTGCAGGCGGTGGGGTAGCGTGGCATATGCGGCCACAGCACCGTTAATGGCAAGGCGACGACACGAGACAGCAAGGGGCAAACCCACATGCTTAGAGACACGACATGCAGCAGCGTCATGATGCGAGATAGCGAGGATAGTAGTAGCAGCAACACAACGCGGTGACATGACAAGCGATGGGCGGTAGGTTTGTCTTCGCGCGCGGCACAAAGGGCAGCGCAGAGCGATCGTGGTGGCATCAAGAGCGGCAACGCGAGGCATGGCAATGGGCATGGGATGGGGTTAGTGGCCCGCTATGACCGGCCTCATCCAAGCCAAGGCGGTTCGACCGACCCAACACGACGGCGCGGCGCACGAGACGCGAGGCAGCAGTGGCGGACACGATGGCAGCGCAACGCGGGACAAGGTAGGCGGCAGCAACGGCGGCTCCACGCGGCGGGCCAGCAGCAGCGCGTGCACGCGCGACCCTAGGCACGGCGCGGGCTGGCCACGCGGTGACCGCACCCACGGCGTCAGACCGCTCGAGACAGTGACATGTACGAATTTTAAAGCGTTCAACACGACCAAACAATTGCTTTAGGACCTAAACCATCTTCACCATGTTCAAGATGGCACATAAGACTACCAAATTGAGCTATAACACTACAACGCTCCTTAACTCAATCTCTCACAATAAATTGCTAAACATAGCAGTGTCTAACTATTAACAGACTTAAAAATTTCTAAGTTTTTGAGCTGAATTTGATTTTCATTTACGATTTCTAAGCTAGTGGAACTATTAGCTAGTAATATCATTTTTTGACCGTAAGTATTTGATTGTCATCTACAAAGTTTGTACTTTAAACTTTATTTAAGTATCACATACATGTTCTATAGCATTTTTACTTAATAAAAATTGGTTTTAAACCCTAAGTGATATAACATGACTATCGAATCAACTTTCGTTTTGCATTTTAGTTGATCGTTTTGAATTACGGAAATTAATCTATACACTTTATTACATGCATTAATACATAAACATGATGCTCGTGACATATTTTAGTAAATGATTTACGGTGTAACACCGAGGGTGTTACATTTTACATATCAAAGCAGGCCAATTCATTTTGTGCGAAACATTAAACAATACATTCTCTGCATATAGTTCTCACTATTATCGTCTGCGACACAGTGTGGGGCCCTGGCTAGTTTATTTATTCATGGTTCGATGATTGGAACTGCTGATGGGAGTGGGATCCCATTCCCATGACTGTGATAAGCATGTTGGTGACCATATAGGGTGTGTTTGGTTGGGTGCCCAACCTTTGGCCTGGTTTGCTTGAGGCAACCTGGACTTGTTTGGTTGCTTGTAGTTGGGCTTTAGCCTGGCTAGACCTGGCCTCCGTACGCAACTAGGCCTGGCTAGGAAAGAATGAAATCGCCATCCGTTTTTCTGGAGCCTAGCTTAGCCAGGCCTCCCACCACGCGTCTATTCACCGCCCCCTCTCCCCTCCGTGACCTCCCGACGCCGCCCGAGACTGGACCGAACCCCGGCGGTCCTCCCACCACCATCTCTGGCTCGCCTCTACTGCTCCGCGGCTGCGCCGTCTCCGGTGTCCCTTGATACACTTTCCATGCCTCGCCGCCGCCCAATGGAGAAGAGCTCCTCCCCGTTGGAGATCTCCTGGTGCTCCTCCCCACCGTAGGAGATCCGCTGCTCCTCCACGCCGTAGGAGATCCGCTGCTCCTTCCCGTCGGAGATCTCCGGGTGCTCCTCCGTGTCGTAGATCCCCTGCACCCGCCCTCCATTAGCAGAGCTCCACCGTAGCCCTGATCTCCACGTAGGAGACACCGCTTGCCTCTGTCCTTCTCCCTCGGCCTCGAAGAAGAAAGCTGCACTTGATCCACCACTTCTTGGCGTCAATCCGTGGCGAGAGGGCCACCTTCTCTTCTACTAGTCCTGGGAGGACAGCGGAGAGGCACCAACGTTGGTTGACCCATTGACCCCATCTCCTCATGTGCGACAGGGCAACAAGAGGCTAGCAGTAGATCATAAGCGGCAAGATTGTAACTTGTATTAAACTATTTGCTTTCTACTGTGGTTGTTTTTATCTTTTACTTTGGTGGATTTGCCACGCCGGCCATCTCCCCAGCTTCGATTTGCAGAGAAGTGACGCTCACTATGTGTTCGACGAATTGCCTCAAAGGTGATGAAATTACCTGCACAAAGAAGAGGTGACTCTATCTGAGACAAACCAGGCAACCAAACAAACTAGATGCTAACCACGCTTAGATTGTGTAGACAACCAAACAAGTCCATCTTAACTTAATGAAGACAGTCTTAGACTAGCCTGGTTTAATTTTTAGCCAGGTAAAAGAAAGTCCGGGAACAAAACAGACCCATGCTGACATGGCACCTGGTCGGTGTCAACACGACCGCTCTTTTCTGCCTTTTGCTGCCCTTTCCAGATCAATTGAATTGAATTGAATTGAATTCAAACCCAACCGGATCAGATTATTTCCCCCACCCCGACGGCCCCACCCCACCCCCTTCTCTCTCTTCTTCCAATGACCCACCTGTCAGTCCAGCCGGAGAACGCCGCCCACGTCCCCGGCGTGCCGCCTCCGTGATTCTTCCTCCTCCAACCCCCGCTGCCCCTCCGCCTCCGCGCCTTGCCACCATGGACCCGGCGCCCGATCCGCTCTCTATCTCCGCCTCGGTCCCGTTCCCCACCATCCCGGCTGCCTCATGCCCCAGGCCCCGCGCCGCGAGGACGACGCGGCGCCACGCCGCGCTCTTCCGGTCGGACCACCCCGCCGCCGCGAGCCGGCCGCGCTCCGGGATCGATCTACCGCGCCGTCCTGCGGCCTCCGCCTTCTCCCAGCAGGAGGGTTCTCTTTCCGTGGGCTCCTGGGGCGCCTCTCGCGACGCCACCTTTGTGTTCGGGAGTGGCGTGGCCGTGGCGCCGGAGATGAGGAGGAGCTTCTCGTCTGGATCCGGTGAGGCATCGTTGGCTGAACTTTCGGACGCAGTTCGCAGGCTCTCGTTGGATGGTTATGGCAGGCGAAGCGACATTGATGCTCCCGGAGGAGATGATACGCTTCCAGTGACGGACTCCGGTGATCGCTTTGGGGCCCCTGGATGCAGTTCCACTTTGTATGAGGGTTCCTGTCTGGATGCTATGCACCATCAGACTGAGCAGCTCGATGAAGGACGTGGAGTCCCGTCTCAAACCATGCAATGCGAGAGTATGGGGATGCGATCATTAGCTTCAACAACCTGCACTGATGAGAATGCTCCCATTGGATTTGCAAGGAGCGGGGACAGCTTGCCCATTCGAGATTCTGTGGATGAAAGTAGAAATTCTGGACATGGTGGTAATGCCCACCATGATTTCTTTTGTTTTGGTGGACATGCTGGGTACCATAGCTTGGCTGCCAATGCAACTGAAGCTAATATCAGTGAGGTACATTCAGCTGACAAAGAAAGTGTAACATGTAACTCTGAACAGCTAAATACTTCAGTTGCTAAAGATAGAACTTGCACCAAGTTCATTTTGCAGGATGCAAAGCATGTGTTTGGTTCAAGTGATAATGATCTTCCACACTCGGAACCTTGTGAAGTTTCTACCATGGTGGAAACATCGGATACTGTAACCTAGCTTTGGATCTGAAGACTGGATCTTGAAGGTTTCTTCCATAAAGGTGCCTTGTGATATTGAAGCAGTAGCAGCATCAGAACTTGTTGAATGTCGGTCATTTGATGAGAAATCTTTCACTTTTGACGACCACAATGTAGCATCTAGGAACAAAGGAGGGGTTAAGGGTGTGAGCATGAACAGAAGAGCTTTTATTCCAAAGAAGTCCTCAGCCAACCAGGCTTCTTCCTTGGAATCAGTCTCAAGAAGAAGTGGCCATTGTTCTGGAGAAGTGCCTCCTGAAGAAAAGTTAAATTTGAAAGAAGCCAGTAGCTTGATATTAGAGGACTCTGGTATCAACTGTGCCCAAGCCGATTCTAACAACTCTTTGCGAAGAATGATAAGTAATGTTTAATGATACATTTAGCTAGTCGCAAGTGTGTAGCACCCTTACTGTTACATTCTAAATTATTAATATATTAACTTTTGTATGCTTATCTAATGAGTCTAGCTGCCTACTTGCCCTGGGGGATGTTGAAGAAGCACGAAAGGCTTTTGAGATGTGTTTGAAGTCTAATCATCTATCAAGCTTGGACCATAAAATTGTAGAAGAGGCTTTGACGGTCTACAAAAAAGCTAAGGTAGCATACAAGACTAAATTTCTGCTACCGTGCCAGATTTTTCAGGTGAAATGTGACCCAAATTAACTATTACCTCCGTTCGAAATTATCGGTTGTTTTGGCTTTTGGATACATAGCTTTGACTATGTATCTAGAAACAACGTATATCTAGGTGCATAGCAAAATCTCTGTACCTAGAAAAGCCAAAATGACCTATAATTTGGGACGGAGAGAGTACCTTTTGAACAGTTATTTCCATTGCGTACATGATAAAACAACATTGTCAGCAAACCGTTGGCAACATTTTGCTAACGTACCATCAGCTGTTATAATGATAAGTGTGATCCTGCACATCATAAAAAAAACTCGGCCGGTGGGGGTAAACCCGCGCCCGCGACATTAGCGTTAGAAGAAATTCTCTTCCTGGCCCGGTCGAGAAAACCCCCCAAAGGCCGGCTGCTCGGACACGCCACAGGGTGCCCAGGACACGTGGGCCACGTGCATATCTCTGAAGACACCGCAGTGGTTATGTGTATAACTCGAAACAGACGACGAGGTTTTTTTTTTTTAACCCCAGCCTGAAATTCGCTCCCACGGGGAGTTGAACTCAGGACCTGGGGGGTGTCGCTGGAAAGCTCTAACCACCTGGGCTAGAGTCCTTTGGCGATCCTGCACATCATTGACACATTCAGTGTTATATTTGTCAAACTTTGACTTTCGAGAAGTATGAAAGAAAATTTATTTATGAGGAATGTACATATACAAGGTCGACTGTATTGGGTAATGCTTGTCTGGATTCTGCACTCAAGTTTACTGTTCTTAGAAAACATGTTAGCAAAATAATTTGCTATATGGAACTTGATAACCCAATCATCATGTTCCCATATTTTTTTGGCAGAAAATATCTGGTTTAATTATTGAATCCAAGGAGTATCTTATAAAGAAGGCATTTGACAAGATACCCAGTGCCTTACAAATGATCTCTGATGCTTTGTCCATAAGTATTTATTCAGATGAGTTCATGGCGATGAAAGCAGAAGCACTGTTACTGGTCTGTATTTACGGTAAACTTATTTTGCCTTGTGCACATCATTACTAAGTTTCATCGTTCCTCTGGTATTTTTTGGCCTAACTGTTAGTTTTGTTGGACTTTAACAGTTGCAGCGATATGAAGAAGTAATTCGGTTTGGCGAAGAAACTCTTTATGTAGCAGAAAGGAATAGTGTGTGTTTGTGTCTTGACAAGCATTCAGAAAGCAATAACTTGGACAACAATACTTGCTCTGTGAAGTTGTGGCGTTATCATCTTATTGCTAAGTCATATTTCTTCCTTGGAAAGCTTGAAGAGGCTAACCAGTTCTTAAAGAAGAATGATCAAATAAAAGTCATGGGATGCAGGTAATATTTTGTTACCAATGCAATACTAGTTTGGGTTGTTTCCAATTTCCATGTATATGATTTTCTAATTTTGAGAGAACACTAACTAGGTGTGGGAAGCAATCTCAGGACTCAATTTTATCATTCTCCATGGTTAGCTCTGAACTACTGCGGCTTAAAGTACGTCATATGTTGGCCTTGGGCTACTAATCTATCTACCCATGCATTTCAGCATTCTCTTTGCTCTGTGATGTTGTTATATATCATGTGCGTACATGATGTCCTTGGTATTCAGCAAAGTTTGCAAGATTTTACACTAATGGCATCAAATTCCTGTTTGCTGCATTTCAGGCTGCTGGCAATGAAGCATTCCAATCTGGTAAATATTTGGAGGCTGTGGAACATTATACTGCTGCTTTGATGAGCAATAGCGAGTCACTACGCTTTTTAGCAGTCTGCTTTTGTAACCGTGCAGCAGCATATCAAGCAATGGGTCAAATTTTAGATGCAATTGCAGATTGCTCACTGGCTATAGCCCTTGATGCAGATTATGCTAAGGTTGGTGTATTATCCTCCTGTTGTATCAAATAAAAATGCTCGTATGGCTATGTTCTCCAACTCTTTCTAGACAAAACCACCTGCTTTCATCGTTCGAGAAAAAAAAAACCACCTGTTTGATATTGTGCTATGATGCCCATTTGTTTTATCATGTGCTTGAGCTGTCCATGCTTTCCGTTTTGTTACTCATATACTGAAATTTTTCCTATATTTCCTTGCTTGTTCCGATGCATGAGAAATGAAGCCCTTTGAACTTTTGGTTGCTATTTTCAGCTTAATTTTACCCCAAACTAAGTAGATAATAATATATAGATAATGGTTATGACTTGTGGCTTTCTATCACATCCATAGGCATGCTCCAAATAGATTTTGTGCTCAATTCCACAGTGTAGTTTCAAAAACTTGGCCGGTGAGGGAAAGACCACCCCCACAGTATTTTACTAAGAAGAGCTCAACCGGAGCCCGGCCGAGAAGAGCTCATACATGGGGATGCCGCCCCCTATGGTTCGGGCCTTAACCCGTGCTCTGAGGCCCAACCCACTACCAGCCCCTTACATGAGGTTCCGCCCACCATACGTCGGTTCACCCATGCCGACCTCAGTGAGTCACCTTTTTTACCCAGCCTGTAATTTGCTCCCACGGGGATTCTTCGCAGTGTAGTTTCATATTTATTCTTCTTTTAAATTAGTGGGTTGCCATGAGTTACTGGTGATTCTTCTTGAATAATCAATGGTAACAAGCAACAGCCATGCCTATGTAATGAAATGATACTACTTTTCCAACTTTTGGATTTACATTTATGCTTTATGGTTGGGGGGACTCTTTTAGTCCTTTTAATCATTTGAACTGCAGATCATTATTGTGTGGTGGTCATCTTTCTTCTTCATGTAAATTTGGTGATTGGCTAAACTAATGTTTGCTATGAACCTTAGAGCATTGACTTAATATTTTTCAATATGCACAGTAATATCATTTCTGAAGTTAGTTAGCTAAGGACCATGGAAAATGTGTACAGATCGGATAATGTCATCCAATGTGAGGTTTGACACATGGTTCCTCCAACCACATGGTAGTAAATATTAGATGGTATTTTCAGTGTGATTCCCTAGAACGGCATGACAGTAAAACATTAATCCATGAATTCAAGGTCTTCCTGTAAAAATGTAACCTATTGTGCTTGCTATGTTTTATGTTTTTAGGCTATTTCCAGAAGATCTAGCTTGTATGAACTTATAAGGGACCATGGTCAGGCAGAAAATGATCTCCGTAGGTTACTTGCTCTTCTTGAGAAACAACTGCAAGAAAATATGACCATGCCACTAGAGAAGACTGAGAGTATCCATAACAATCTGAATCGAGCCAATCTTCGGTTTTCTTCTCTGGAGCGGGATGCCAGAAAAGGGGCTTCATTAAATATGTATTTGATATTGTAAGTATTTGTCCTTTGTAATTTGTCTATAACATACAGAATTATATTTTTAACTATTATTTTTCACGATTTAGTCTTGCATGTGAACTCTGAAACAACATCTTGATTTAGTATTCTTTCTTTAGATGGGTGCTTTTGATTTTTTTCCTTGATCACACAGGAGAGCTGTGTATCTTTGTATGAGAGAGAAAGAATGGACTCTTACAACACAACCCCCATAATCTCAGTTAAGAGGGGGTTGCAGAAAGTGAATAAAAAACGATCACCTGATACAAAAAGATCAACCACAACCTAAACTGGACTAATCAAGTTAATCCTAAACCATGACCTATGCTCAACTCCTGAAGCTTTTTAGCTCCAGTCAGGCACCACAGATTCAACTCCTCCCTGAAAAACCGATGGGACTCCATGAGAGAAGGGGATGCACCCTCAAAAACACATTTGTTTCTATAGAGGCACAAAGTCCAAGCCCCTAAAATTACAGCACCATTAAAGCCTTAACTGGAAGGTTTCTCGACCCTTGGACTCGCTTTTCTCCACCACTCAGCAAAGTTCTGATCACTGCTCCTTGGAGTAACACGACCAAGAGGAGCGAACAAATTGTGCCATAACTGCCTTGCAAACACACAATGTTGAGTATGTGCAGAGCAGATTCTTCTTCCTGATTGCAAAAGATCGCACTTCTCGCTTTCCAAGAAATTAACCAAGTTCAGGTTTGACTAAGTTTATAAAAAGTAGTATCAACATTTATGTCTCCAGATAGGTTAACTATGAACATATATTCCATGATTAATCTAATGATACTTATTCGGTATCATAAATGTTAGTACTTTTTTGTATAGATTTAGTTAAACTTGAAATTGGTTGACTTTTTGGAAAACGAGGAGTGCACTCTTTTTGGGACAGCAGGAGTAGGTTGATAACACAAGACTGGCATTCATAGATTCATTATGAAAGAAGCTCAATAATATCTACCTCTTTCCATTTAAGATAACATCTTTTTTTGATAGACATAACTAGTCAGTCTCATAATGGAGACCATGTCAATGTCCTAATGGACTTATATGTGATCAGAGGAAGTTAGTTTACAGAAATCCTGTTTGCAGTATTGTCAACTCCAACCCCCACATTGCCACCCAGAGTTGGATAATTGCCTGCCAAAATTGACACCCATTTGTGTACCCCTATGGAAGGGAGCTGTTTTTGATGCCTAATCTTACCTCCAAGGTTGGTTATTTTACTTGGTTCATTGAGCTGATGAGTGGTGTAAAGTAGTTTAGGGCATGCTAAAGCAGAGGAAATTCATGTGCTTTTGGTGGAAAGAAAGTTCACATGTTCATACAATTATTTGACCAATACACTTCCTTCTTTCAGAGGAATCGAGCCTTCTTCCTCTGCTGTGGATATAAAGAAGGCATACCGCAAAGCAGCACTAAGACATCATCCAGACAAAGTATTGTATTATTCTCTCTCTCTATTGTGACTCTCACTGTTCTCTTGTCTAACAGTAGTTATGCCACAGGCCAGTACATTTCTTGTCAGGAGTGAAAATATCAGCGATGCTGTATGGAGAGAGATAACAGATGAAATCCGCAGGGACGCTGATTATTTATTCAAAATAATTGGAAAGGCATATGCTATGCTTTCAGACCCTACAACGGTATGCATTACTGAGATATCTTTCATATTTTTTCTTTGCTCTTGTTACTGGTGTTGTATTTTTTTACTTTCTTTTTACCAGAACTTTCATGTCAAATGAGTGGGCATTATTTTGGATAAGATTTATCCTGCCTGATGTTGTTAATTAAAATAGGCCAAGCATTGCGATTATAAGTCAAATGTAGCAAATTATATAAAAAAACAATGAAAGGAACAGTAACTAATAAGAACATGCTTCTCCCCTAGCCTGCCTGCATCTGGTTTCTATCCAATGTGGTACTGATTTATGCCATGTGATCTGGTTTTGTGCCATATCACTCAAATCAGACCCACATGTAAGCTCTGCATCATCTAACTTATCTCCTCTGTCTGTCTCTATTATTTTGATCTGCACCCCAAGCAAGCTGTTGCATGTGGCCGCTGAGCTGTACAGCTGCTGGCTCAATGAGCCATTGGCTCGGTGCAAGAGAGGGCAGCGGCAACTGCAGGCAACAACAGGATAGCTTCAGCATCCTTGGTAATGCAGGCAGCAGGCAGCAACGGGCACCCATCCTCCACCACCTGAGGCACCGGTGAGTGGTGGCATCAGTATCACCTTGCGGATCAACCGCTCTTTCTGTGTCAACTGGCAGTGGTGCAGTACACAATGTCGCAGAGCAGAGTGCAGTGCATGTCTCTGCAGGTTTCGTGTGGCCATGGACGATTGAGACATGTCCATGGACCCAGATGCTGCTCACCTTGCATGACCATGCCTTCGCACTCTCGCAGTTGCCTATGGTGGCTGCCTCATCGGCTAATTGACAGCGCTACGGATCGGATCTGGCCTTCATCTGTGACGACACCACTGTAGTTTGTAGAAGGTGGCGGCATGGATGGCTTCATGTGAGTTCAGGGGCGGCGCTAGGAAGCAGTATGCAGCAATGGGGCGTACTGCTATGGCTCGTACTCATGGCTTCGCTCCATTTGTTCGCTTTCCTTCTCAATGACCTTGCCGATGCTAGCAAAAACTGAAGAGGGCAAAGAAGGAAGGGAGCACAGAAAGCAAACACGAAACACTGGTTTCGGCAGTGCTGTGGGCAGCAGGAAGCCTGGTGTGGTGTAGGCATGGCCAGACAGCAGTTTAAAATGATATGGAAGGGGTGGAATGGGGAGGAAGAGAACAAGAGAGAAGAATGGTGTTAACGTGTGGGCCTATGATGTAGAAGGCATGATGTGGATCATGACGTGGATGCTAACATGCCAAAACCAGTGCCACGTAGGACAGAAATCATCTTCAAACAGGCTTGGGGTGTAGGTGAGACTGAGAGGGGGCGGGATAATTTGTCTGCTACTAAGCTGATGTCAATATATCTGATGTTGTGCATAGTATCTTGGAGCAGTCCGAGTGGAATCAACAAGAGTGAATAGTGTGTAAATAGAGGTATACGTTTCTTGTACACCCCTTCACCCCACATTTGCAGAGCGTGGTAGAAACAAGCATGCTTTGTCTTTTTGAAATATATATATATCCCCTCATGAGTGGTGGAAGCAAATGTTTTGTGGTATGTTTGTTTGTACATTATAGTTTGTATAGGAAGCAACATGATTTATGTTTTCCCTCCCTTTTCTTTTTCCTGTTGTCTTCATTAAAAATTATGTATGTTTTGCATTTGTGTAATTCTGAAGCAAAGAGAAGGTTGATTGATTCGTTTGTTGTAAGTAATAACAAATAAAATTGCATGAATGAACGGTGTATTTTGCTTTTTTTTCTGAAGCAAAGAGAAGGTTGATTGATTCGTTTGTTGTAAGTAATAACAAATAAAATTGCATGAATGAACGGTGTATTTTGCTTTTTTTAGCATAAAACGGTGTATTTTGCTGATTTGGCTGTGCATGTCTTTAAGTTTTCACTGATCAGCTGGTTAGGTTTCTCGTGGTGGAACTTATCTATCCGGGTTTAAGTCCTTAACTTGACACGGGTGCTCGTATTTTTTCTGGATTTATTCTAGGTTTTAGCGGCGCTATGCTTTCAGCGGTAGGCGACGTCTCCGTCGACAGCGAGGCGCGTGACTTCGTGAATCTCGTGATCTGCCGGCTCAGTCTTTTGGAGATGCTTATAGGGATAGGGTTTATGTACGTGTGTTCATAGGCTGAATGTGTATGCGTTATAAGTGTATGCGTTGTACTGTGTAATTTTTTTTAAAAAAAAAGTTTTCGCTGTGTTTCGCAACGTGTCCGTGTCCGTTTTAGGCTTGCAGGCAGGACGCGCGTCCGCTCCACAAAATCACCTTCGTGGCTCATCTGAAACAGCTACAATTGCTTCATAGGTCAGCCTGTCGAGGTCCACGACAAACAATAAACTGCGGACGGTATATTTCATTTCATAATCAACAAGTAATGCTAATCTTGTTATATTAACCAGTATAAACATTTCTTATCTTATCCTAATATTAAACCATAGACCATCAAGAGTTTCTTGATTTCGGTCTCTTTTTTTATTTTTCTTTTATCTGTTTCTTTTGTCCGTTCTTTTCTTTTCTTTTTTTTTTTTTTTTTGCCCGTGCAGACTCACGAGGCGTTTTTGTTTCCCGTTCTTTTTCCTTTTTATTTTTTGTTTCTTTTTGTCCGCTCACCTTTTTTATTTTTCTATTCTTTTATTCGTTCACCTCTGTTTCTGTTTTTTTTTTGTTTGCCCATGCAAACTCACGGGCCGTTTTTTGTTTTTTTGGCCATCCGTTTTATTTCCCGGGTAGTTCGCATGTCGATTTTTTTTCATTTTATTTTTTCCTTCCTGTTTACCCGCACCTGGAGTTGTTATTTCTTTTTTTTGTTTGATGTTAAAAATATAGAGCATAAAAAACGAACCATCGGAACGTCCAGCGTCCGGACGGCCGTGCCTCTGTGCTGCTTCACGTGAGGGCCCACGTTGCTCGGTGTCCCACGCTCGCACTGTGTCCCATGCCGCTTCGTGTCTCTCGCCCGTATCGTGACCTGCACGTGCTTCGTGTCCCGCGTCCACACCTTGGCGCCCCTCCACACACGCGCATGCACGCGGGCCTAGCAGCCACAGCAGGTGGCTGCTGTAGATGGGTCCTACTGTAATATGTGCAACATCAAAATTTATTTTTAGAATATCTAGATAAAACACTTGCAACATATGTTCGAAACAATTAAAACACTTCCAACGTACGTCTGAAGCACCAGGAAAACACGTTTGTAGCCATTGCAAAACATATGCAACATCCAGATAAACACTTGCAACATGCGTATGGAACACTTGCAACACTTGAAACATACGCTTGCAACATGCAAATATATATGCAATATCTATATCTACTTTTGCAACATCCAGATAAAACATTTGCAACATAGTATGAAACAGATAAAATATTTTGGACATAAACTTGAAAACACCATTGTAACATGTGCAAACATTCCGATCTACTTTTGCAATATCGATATAAAACATTTGTAAAATACCTCTGAAATATTTGAAACACTTGAAATAGACGCTTGCAACATGCAGTTTCAGTGCAACATCTCCTTACTGCTTAGGAGAATGTATCCTTGTCGGCACGTGGAGTTCAATGCCGGTCGTCGCGGGTTGCACGCGGGCGAGTTCTGCCCCGGCCACGGCGTGGGCGCGAGATGTGTGTGGCGGGCTCCGCCCGGGCTGCCATGAGCTGCAAGCGTGCAAGCTCCACACCGGCAGCAACGAGCTGGGCAGGTGGAGGCCGAGGAATTCCTCGCCAACGATCAGGCGTCCGACCCCGTGGTGGAGGCGGCAGCGGTCTCCCTCACCATGGGCTGGCGGTGCAGCGCGGCCGATGGAGCTCGTGCGTCCGCGGCTAGTGGCGGCGCTCGACGCTCATGTGTATGCGGACGGCGGCGACACTCGTGCTACGCGAGTGCTAGCTGAGCTCGTGCGTATGTTACCGAAGGACGGGTGGTGCGGTGGAGCCGATGTGAATGGGGAAGATAAGATGCCACTCCCTTTTCTTTTCTTTTTCTTTTTTTGGAGAAACCGTATATGCCGATGAGGGGAGCAGGCCTGTGGGTCGGTCCATAGCCCAACTAACCGCGTCCGGACTGACCGACGCGGAATGGACGCCCGTGGTGGAGCATTAGCGATTTTAGATTAGCCTAATTCAATCCTCCCTTCTCTTGGACATCTCGATCCTTTTACAACGTTTTAGGCTCTATTTAGATTTATGCAATTAATAGTTACCTACTAAAATTAACTCTAGGGATCAAAGCAACTCGGATATATAATAGCCCAACTAATAATAGCATAAAATTAAGGCAAATTTTGCTGGAGGACACCGCGAAAAAGTGTAATTGGTCGGCACACACCGCAACGGCGAGTCTTTGCCTGTTAACATTACAAATTCGTGGTTATTTGCCGGTGGACACCGTGGTGGATATTTTATTCATTTCTTAGTTTTGGGAAGAGAGAAAGTGAGAGAAATGACTTTGTTACCCTCGTCTTCAACCTCCGTCTGTGCACAATTTTTTCCATAACACAAAATTATCTAGCTAATAGGAAGTTATTGGTTGGTTCGCTCTCCTAACTAAATGCAGCTAAGTATATATTAGCTAGAGGGTCCAAATAGTCTAGTTAATAGCCCAGCTAATAAAAAGCTATTAGAGCACCTCCATGAGTCCCTCTTAGATCCACTCTCTAAATCATCATTTGAAGAGCCATTTGAATAAAAATTGCCTTATATATATATTTCCACCCTCCAACAGATTCTCTATATCTTGTGTGCACTCTAAAGAACCAACCTGGCCTGTTCTCCTTGTTTGACTAGAGAGAAATCTGAAATAGAGAATGTCTATATTAAGAGATCTGATTAAAGAGGTTATTGGAGGCTATTTTTTTCACCAAAATATCTAATCCTATGAAATAGGAATGATATAAAGATGCTCTTAGAGTTACTCTTAGTTACCTTTTCTCATCTACAGCTATCTAACTGGTAATTATTAGCCAAAGGATCCAAACAGGGTCTAGTTAGTAGCCTAGCTAATAACGAGCTATTTAGCTGGCACAATTAAAACACCCCATTAGTCATAATAAAAGGAGGATTTGTGCTTAAGGTACATCATTGGCTGGGAGTGCTGCGTCCCAGCAGCACCTGCCTCAGTCCGCCCTTGCTCCCTCGTTTCTAAATTATAAGTCGGTTTGACTTTTTTTCTTATACTCCCTCTGGTTCTCTAAAACAAATCGTTTTGAACATCGACACGGTCTCTAAGAAACGACTTTGACTACAACTTTTTGCTATAAAATATTTATAAAATATAGTCAATATATATTTTTATGAAACTACATTTCGAGATGAATCTACTTACATCACTTTCATATTTTCAAACTCAACCCAAAAGAAGTTATTTGTAGTCAAAGTTTAAAATGTTTGACTTAAAACAACCTCAAAACGACTTGCTTTAGAGAACCGGAGGGAGTACTCATTTTGCTATGCATCTAGATATAGTAATATGTCTAGATACATAGCAGAATATATTAACAAAAAAGTCAAAACAACTTATAATTTAGAATGGAGGAAGTACTCTAGAACGTGCAGTTATATTTGAAAAAAACAATAAAAGCAACTTTTTTTCTCAAAGGATACCGTATTTTATTTCATTATTCTTTTAACTGGAGGCAAACATTATGGGTAATACTATTTGTCACTTTTCTAGAAAAAATAGATCCGTGACAGAGAATATGTTATTACAACAATATTGAACAAATTGGACATATCACGTGTCAATTAAAAAAATTACATATTCTCTTGGGGCCATGATGAACCGACCGTGACGATATATTATTACTACCGGCTCCAAAGCAACTAACAGTGACTTGTGTTTTTGGAGTAGAGTACAAGAACATAACACTCTCTTATATAGTTCAATTATATAAAGGCCGCACTATGGTTCTTGTTGATTCCATAAACTAACATCTAGTAGCTAAAAACTAGTCTTTGTTTATCCATACAGAAAGATTAACGTGTGGATTAATTTTGGTCTAGCTTCAAACTAATTGATAGTCTACTAGTTGGTCAAACCCAACTAATTTTGATCAATAGGACACTTAAGTATGTTTTTAGCTATGTATGGAACTTTGAGTTGGGGAGCCAAACAACCTACCCCGTGTAGCTTAATTTTTAGCTAGCTAAATTTTAGCTAACTAATTTTTAGGCGTTGTTTGCTTCCACCCAACAAATTATTAGCTGCTATAAAATAGCTGGGATGGATCCAAATGAACCGAGCTAATTGTTAGTTGGATGCCTAGCTAACAACTATCTCACTAGCTATATTAACCTAGCTAATAGATTGCAAAAAAATATTTTTACCACCCCACGTACCTCTGTTATGTGCCCTCCTAATAGTAGATAGAAAAGAAAGAAAAATTATAGACAAAACCATCGATACATCGATATTTTAGTTACCGGATCCAAACGGCTTAGTGAGCCATCTAATATTTAGGTAGCTAGGTACTCCATCCATTTCAAATTATAAGCATTTTGACTTTTCTAAGTACATTATATATATATATATATATATATATATATATATATATATATATATATATATATATATATATATATAGTTATAGTATGTATAAGTGTAATAGCAAAAGCTAGAAAAAGTAAACAAATCTTATAATTTGGAATGGAGCCAGGATTAGCTAAACTGGGTCTTAGTTGGAGCTGACAGATAGTTATAGATCATCCTGTGTACAAACAAATACCCGTTTCGGCACCATATTTAGGGGGTGTTTGGTTCTTTAGTCGCTCCTAAAATTCATGTCACATGGAATGTTTAGATACTAATAAAGAGCATTAAATATAGATTAATTACAAAACCAATTACATAGATGGAGGCTAATTTGCGAGACGATTTTTTTAGCATAATTAATCTATCATTAGCACATGTTTAATGTAGCACCACGTTGTCAAATCATGGACTAATTAGGCTTAAAAGATTCGTCTCGTAAATTAGTCGTAAGTTGTGTAATTAGTTTCGTAATTAGTCTATATTTAATACTTTATGTATGTGTTTAAACATTCGATGTGACAGGAATTTTAGAAGAGGCCTTCCTAGTACCATCTTTGCCATCCTCCTGTAACCACATGCAGATACAGTCATTCGATACAGTAGCATGCATGACAGATTGACAAGTATATACCAGAAAATTCAAACGCAAAGCACCGCCTAAATCCCAGGACCAGCAGCCACCACACGACTATCCAAGACATTTTTGGGGAATGCCACGCGGGGCCCACCTCCACGGCGCGGGGAGGCCCTTCCACAGTTCCACGCCACCCCATCTGACCCGCCCGCGGCTCCACCAAACCTCCGCGCGTCCTCCCCACCTCCCTATAAATCCGATTGAAAATGGCCAGGGGCCTTGGCTTGCTTGCTACTCCTACTCCTCTCTCTTCACGTGCACACAACGCCCCCCTTGGCGAGGCGCGCCTGCTGGCCAGAGCTCGGGGCGGCGTTGGCAATGGCTGCGGTGGCGGCGGCGGCGGAGGAGGATGTGATCATCGTCGGCGCGGGGCAGTCGGGGCTGGCGGTGGCGGCGTGCCTGTCCCTGCGCGGCGTGCGCGCCCTGGTCCTGGAGCGCGACGACTGCGTGGGCTCGCTGTGGCGGAAGCGCGCCTACGACCGGCTCCACCTGCACCTGGGCAAGAAGTACAGCGCGCTCCCCCACGCGCCGCACCCGGACTCGGCGCCGACGTACCTCCACCGCGACGAGTACGCGGCGTACCTGGACGGGTACGCGGCGCGGTTCGCCGTCCGCACCCGCCTCCGCCGCGAGGTCCGGTGCGCGCGGTACGACCGCGCCACCGCGCGGTGGGAGGTGGAGGCCGTGGACCTCGGCACGGGCGGCCAGACTGAGCGGTACATGGCCAGGTTCCTGGTGGTGGCGTCCGGGGAGAACGGCGAGAAGTTCGTTCCCGAGGTGCCCGGGCTCGAGGCGTTCCCCGGCCAGGTGATGCACGCCGCCGAGTACCGGTCGGCGGAGGGCATGCGCGGGAAGGCCGTGCTCGTCGTCGGGTCCGGCAACTCCGGCATGGAGATCGCGTATGACCTCGCGGCCGCCGGCGCCGTCACCTCCATCGTCGTCCGCAGCGAGGTCAGTAATAACCTACAGTATATACTGCTGTGCTGCATGCCCTGCTATGGTACGGTACGCCGGACAGCCGGCCACTGTCTCTTGTTGCATGCCTGGCTCGACAGACAGTCGTCGGATACTGCTAGTAGATGCCAGCGCAACAAGTGTGACCTGGTGCGACCGTGGCTAGATGATGATCCATTAACCCGAATCCTATGTTGCTGCTTGCATTGCATCCTATATTCCTATCGTATAAGTATATTATGTAATCGTATACCTTTGCGTGTCAATCGATGTCGTCTTGTGTCCCTACTCCCGTGTAGTGTAGTGTGTAGCCGTTGGATCCCCCGATGGATGGTCCTGATCGATCGAGTCCTAATTACTAGTACTAGTAAGAACGATTGTTTATTGTGGGTGGATGTTGAATGCATGTGCACGATCGACGCATGCAGCTTCACCTGGTGACCAAGGAGATCTGGAGCGTGGCGATGGCGCTGTACCCGTACCTGCCGGCGTGGGTCATCGACAAGCTGGTGCTGCTCATGTGCGCCGTCGTGTTTGGCGACACGTCCAGGCACGGCCTCCGCCGCCCCGCCGTGGGGCCCTTCACCATGAAGCTCACAACCCCGGCCTACCCCGTCGTCGACGTCGGCACCTACGCCAAGATCAGGACCGGCGAGATCCGGGTGCTCCCCGCAGGCGTCAAGAGCGTCCGCGGGAACGTCGTCGAGTTCGGGGACGGGAAGCGACACCCCTTCGACGCCATCGTCTTCGCCACCGGCTACCGCAGCACCGTCAGGCAGTGGCTCAAGGTATGCATTGCCAAAAAAGCTAGCATGCATTGCACATTTGTGCCCATGATGTCAGCTGTGTTCTGTGGGTGCATGGACATGTGGCCTGGTGCGTGAGACTTCGCCGCGAAGCAAAGCTCAGTCCGCCGGCCGGCCGGGTCTCATCTTTGCAATTGCACGCATGCTCCATCTCCCTAGCCCCTAGCTAGCAACTCGCAACAATAGTCTAATACAAGCATGCATGTGCATTTCTCTGTTGTTTAGAGCGAGGACGGGCTGATTGGAGACGACGGGATGGCGGCGCGGAGCTATCCGGAGCACTGGAAGGGGGAGAACGGGCTGTACTGCGCCGGGATGGTGCGGAGGGGCATCTACGGCAGCTGCGAGGACGCGGAGCTCATCGCCACCGACATCAGCAAGCTGCTGCGCCCCCAGCAGGAGCAGGGCAACGGCTTCTAGCTCCAGCATTCTCGTCCGTGTGTGGATCCAACGCGCGTGCGAGCAACGGCTGCGATGTGCGATCATCTCGGCGCGCCGACAACAACTATATATATATATATATATATATATATATATATATATATATATATATATATATATATATATATATTAAATATATAAATATGTATATGATGCTTTGGGGAATGTGATTGCTGAAAGAGATGGGCAGGAGAGAGACACCATGCATGCAAGACGCTTTTGTTGGTTGCAAATGGAAACAACCTCTAATGTTTGATTGGTTAATAATAATGGTTGAGTGAATAAGCTAAACGTGCTTGAGATGGCCAGGCCACCCTGTTCGTGCGCGTTACCCTGTCTGTGTCTGATATTGAAGTACACGTACTACCGCTAGAAAACGGAATTTCCCCGCATGCGGCTTTCCATGTGTTGGCTACAATTTAAGAAATCATCATATGTCAGGGGGTATCTATCAAACAATCCACGTCTCCTGTCTTGTCAGGATTAAGAGTTTTAACCATCTATTATGAAATTGTCCGCTATCCGCACCTTACTTTTGCTTTACTATTACGGGTTTGGAAGTGGGAAAGCCAACCTTATCTTTCGAGGATCACTCTTGCCGGATCCGTTCATAATTAAAGGATCGGAGAAGTCCAAGTCCAAATAGTGGCTGCGTAAAATTCAATTCTATCATTTTCTGAAAGTTCGAGAAAAGGTCATGTGCAATGCAAATCCAGTAGGAAAATACGACATACCAATAGAAAAATTGGAAAAAAAACATTTCATATCTGTATACCAGCAGAAAAATTGGGGCCAGGCAAATCATTCGGGTGATCAAAGGCCACGTATCACCCGAGTTCTATGTAGACCTGAATAAAACGTCCTTTCAGTTTCTAATATAAAATACGGAAATGCTACGCTCAGAGCGTCCGACACTCCGGCCAGAATCGGACGGCTCCATACAAATAAAAAAACAAAAATGCTTACATCCAGCCCAACATCGTATTCTCCTGTCCACTCGTTCTCTCCAGAAGCTTCTCGTCCACTCATCCTCTCTAGAAGTCTCTCCACCGTAGCGCCGCGACAGTGCTCCGCCACGCCACCTCGGCATTCTTCACGTCGTCTAGGCTTCGGCCACCGGCTGGCATCTCCACCGCACCCCAGCACAGTTGTCCATCTTTCTCCCTCTCCATGGCGCCTCCTGCCCCACCGTGGCTCGTCTTCTCCACCGGAGCGACCTGTCGTGGCCTTCTCCACCGGACTTGTCGCAGCCTTCTCCACCGGAATAGCGAGCTCTACACCGTTGAACTCCACACACCGACGAGCTTTCATTCCCAATCAGCAAGGAGACCTCCATTCCCAAGCAACAAGGAGATGTTGCACTGAGCGTATGTTGCAAATATATATTTCAGGTGTTTTAGAGGTATGTTGCAAGTGTTTCGTATCGGTGTTGCAAAGGTAGATCGAAAAGTTGCACATGTTGCAATGGCTATACACGTATGTTTCAAGTGTATGTTCCAAATGTTTTCATCTGTATCACACGTATGTTACAAATATTTTTGTCTGGATGTTGCAAAAGTAGATCTAGATGTTGCATATACATGTATGTTGCAAGCGTATTTTTTCAAGTGGCTTCAGGTGTTTTGCAAGTGTTTCATCTAAATGTTGCATATGTTTGCAATGGTTTTTAAGTGTTTTTCCATATGTTTTTGCAAGTGTTTCGGACACATGTTTCAAGTGTTTATCCGTCTTCTTTGTATGTTGCAACTCTTGCATATGGATGTTTCAAAAGTAGATCGGGGGTTGCACATGGGATGCGTGTGGGAAGCGGCTAAGGGCGTGGGCGACGTCCGGGGTGGCACGGGCCCGCTACTAGGGTGCTCGCCCGCAAGCCCGATGTGCTGGGGTGCTTGCTCGCTCGTTGAGCGGGTACCGTCCGACGCTAGCGCCCTGGATCGGACGTCCGAGCGCTAGCAAGTCTGTATAAAATAAAACGCCTGTGGCTTGCGGGAAACATGGCGCCTGAATTTTTTTGTTTTTTGGCTCTTTTTTTAAAGTTTTTCATAAATTTGCCCCTAGAGGTATGCTTTTAAAATCTAGACCCTCATCTCGGTGCCGACGTAATTGGCGCTGAGCTTACACATCTCGGCACTAGAGCATTTGGCGCCAAGGTCTTGGGTCAACGTAGGCGTCCACGCAAACGTGGCGGTGACACGGCAGCCACCTCGGTGCTGAGGTCATTGACGTCGAGCTTGGCGCCAGGATTATTGGCACCGAGCTTGGCGCCGAGGTGGTGTTTTAAACCAGCGCCCAACCTTCCTGGCCGAGGCTTCTTCCTTTTCTTTCTCCTTCCTCTCGGGTTTTTGCTCTTCCCACTTCGTCCTACCTCACGAATTGACATATTGGACCTTGAAAACTTTGATTTGATTCGTAGATCTTTAAGAGCAATGTATTCTCGCTCCCCTCCTAGTTTTTTTGCATCGATTCGGTATATATTAGTCAGATTTTTCAACCTAAGAATCATCATTACTTAGGGTTTCATTCAATTTTTAATATTTGTATTATGCAACCGTAGGATGCCATGGCGTGGAAAAGCTAGCAAACCAAGGTAACCTCAGCACATGTTGTGATATTATGGGTTCATTGTTGTGCATCAAATGGGAAACCCTAGGTTTAGGTTTAATGTTAATTGCTTTCGGTTCTTAGAACAAAATTGATTAAATTATAGTTATGGCCGGATGACCGGAAATGCCTTTGACCCATTGCCTCTGCCTAGTGGTGTTCTAGTGCCCATGTGCTTTTATGACGATCCTTGCAAGGTAGCCAAGTCCGATGAAGAGGACACGTATAGGCAGAGGTATTGGATGTATTCCAATTTTGCGTTTGAGCCTACACTTCGTCAGCGCCGCATTAACAAGATGGTGAGGAATTGATGTTGTGTAATAATTATCTTGTGTCATATAAAATCTTGCATGATTTTTTTTGTTTTGTAACAATTGCATTTGTTGCAGACCCCTCCACCGCTCTGTGATTTTGAGCAGTGGATCGACATTGAGATCAAGCCTAAAAACAACGAATGGATGCATAAACTGTTGCGGTAGGAGGCAGAGGACAAGGAGATAATGGAGAAGAGACGTAGAGAGGAGGCTGTAGAAAAGGAGCACAAGGAAGAGGAGGAAAGGAGGCGTGTTGTTGCGTACAGGGAGGAAAGTGAGAAGAAGTTTGAGCGTGCGCACCGAGGAAAAGCAGCGATGGAGGAGAATCCCGATGCCCTGAGGAAGAGAAAGTGGTCTCGTTGCACTCAGTAGTCTCCATGGCTTACTAGTTCTATGGTTTATTCATGAACAATGCTGTCTACTTTTGGACTTTTCATTGTGTTGTCATGTAATGCACTTTAAGTATAGGCGTACTTAGGTCATGTACTGCGTTATTTAGTTTGGCGGCATGTACTTCTAGTATTATTGTGTTATTTAATGTGTCATAGTATTAGACTTTTTATTGTTGTTTTCATTATCTGTGGTCATAATATTCAGTTTAATGTACTTTAGGCAGAAAATTTCGACATAATTTTCCCTATTTTTTATGCAATCCATACACAAATATGATATTAATATTTAACCTCAATACAACATGTTCAAACATACAAATATATACCACATTCATTTTAAACCATATACATGAACATATTAATAGTCCACACAATCCATAATTATAATCCATAGTAGTTCATGCAGTCTATAATAATAGTCCATACTGTCCACAATAGTTGATAATAAAAGTCCATAATAGTACATAATAACATCTACCACAAACCCTCACTGCCTTATAGTCTTACCCTTACCCTTGTGACCAAGAGCGTCGGTGCCTGGAGTGAAAGTGTCAGGTGGACGGCGTCGCCTAGTGCCTGTAGGCTGTGTAGGCTGAGTCGAGGGAGCGTCCTGTAGCTGAGACGGTCCAAGCTCCTCATGCCTCTGGTCCACCTCCTCATTGTCCTTGTCCTCGTACGCAATGCCCATGAACCATGTAGGTGCTTGGCTAGACGAACATAAGCCTCCTCTGTCTGCGAAAGGAACGTACACGTCTTGCGTCGTGGCTATCCTACAACCACAACGAGCAGCCGTACGACGTATCCGACATTACAGTCTCTGTTGTACAAATCATGTTAATTGAAACAATTTAACGTATTAATATTATACTTGAAAGAATTTTTAGAATCTTACGTCTAGGAAGCTACGCGTGTCATCGCCCCTGACTCTCAGACGAAAGCGCTCAATGTCTTCAACCGAGCATTTGAGGGTGTTGCCCTGCAACAAAGTTCTCAGTAAGATTGTATTGGTATGCAACTCAACAAAGAAAAATAAGGCAATTGACTTACCACTCTGTCCAAGATTAGTCATGCCTCCACCTGCCTTCCTACACGAGTAGTTTGGTCGTACGCCGTGTCTTCATCGTCCGAGGACTCAATGTCGGCGTAGTCATCTTCTGTCCATTGTAGCCTCAACCTACAACATGTCACACCTTGGTGCCAAGCTTGGTAGCGTCTGTACTCACGGTTCATGTGCGGCTCATCGTTCTCGTCCATGTTAACGTCCAATAGCTCCCACTGTTCAATATAGTAGTGGTGGTGCTTCTCCCAATAAAAAATCTTCCTGTTCTTCTGACGATCCAACCTGCACGTCACATACGCCATCGTTAGTGAAGTTTTTATACGAAGTAATACAAATTTGTGCAGAAAATTTCGACAGAGTTTCCTTTGTTTTTTGATGCAAACCAAACAAAAATATGACATGAATATATGCATTCCATGCACGCACATTCATCTCAATCCATATACATGTGACCATATTAAAAGTGCACATACATCATCATTACTTCATCTTATATAGGAACTAATGCAAATGGATTATAACGGAATAATTGAAATAGCAGAACACTTACTTGTGTAAGTCAACATTAGTCGAGAACGGAGTCGTTGGTCAAAGCTGTCTCACTCCAAATTG